TAGACATCGCTACCAACAACAGAAAAAAGGATCACCTGTTTGAATGTGGTTGGAGTTGTGGTTGTGGAAATGTTGTATTTTCACAACGCTTTTTTGTGCTAGCTTGCATTTGTAGTTTGTTGTTCACGAATACTCCCTGCCCTCTGGAATTTCACTCAATGGTGCAAATATCCTTTTTTCGTCTCCGCACCTCCAAGTTGCATAGCTGACTACGAAAATGAGTTCAAGTTTTTCGAATTCGTGTGAGTATTGCGGTGTATTGTATAACGGCGCTTAGGTTCTGTGAGCAAAATTTCGACTTTATAGCTTTATATGATTATGAGTGCGATATGTTAATTGTTCTATTATCAGTCCTCCCATACTGAAGTCCGCTGAAGTAGGGAAATAGTACAGAGAATCATACTCTATAATAAAGCGCTGGGGGCCCATCCGACGTCCACAACCGGCGATGGGATGTTTGTGAAGATCTCTGTCTTAATTTTTGCACTTCCGCCTGTTTCCAGACTGTTTACCCTTACGAATCGGAGAAGCCGAGCAACTCCCTGATATTTTTGCTCCTCAGTTCAGATTCAATCAGCTTTGGTATTTTTGTATGAATGTGGGTTCAAAAATATATGTGAGTTAGCAAAAATTGCAATTTCCAAGTTTTTTTGATCAAATGATTAGCATGTTAGCTAGAAAAACGCACCGCTTTGCCTAAAAAATAGATACTTTCAGCAAAAAAAATGCATATTTTCAAGTATCACTTTATGAGTGCTTTATGTGTTCATCGCGAAAAAGTTGCCCAGATCCGTATTAGCTAAAAATCTGCCCTCTGATTTCTGAGTGTAATCTGCTTTCATGCAATTTCTGCGTAAGCGGTCCGCTACGAATCTTAATTCGTTGCTTTTCGCAAACCTCAACTTCTCGAGTAGCAGCGTCTATCTGTAGATTTTTCTGTTGAGCATTTCGTTTGATATGCACTGTATGTCCAAAAATCAGAGGGGCTTCTGAAATTTCTGAAAAATGCTTGAAGGCAACGTCCGGGCAAAATTTTGCCTCCCATGTTTCTGCCATTCTGGGGCCTTTCAGTGACCCTGATTACAGCTGTAAAGTCGAAATTGTTCAAAACTCTCAAAAACTCGGTTCTGGGGACCCTCTCTTCAAAATGTGGACGAGTTTCGAATTGCTCGTCCCATCGTCATGCCAGCGGGAGGAGTTGCAACTGCACGGATGCAGTTGCATTGCAGTGTGTGTGCAGTGCAACTGCAATGCAACTGCAATGCAACCGCACACCTGCGTAAGCACTCGTCCTCAGGGGTGGTTTGTGATACGAAGGGGCGGCTTGTGATACGTATCACAGGCCTGTATCTCCTTTTAGAGGGCACGTCAAAGGATTGGACCAACGCAGATCGGATAGTCATGGGCCCCTCTTTACAACTATGTTATAGTCTGGGGTGGATGGATCTTGCCTGGACGCTGCCTCTAAAAGTTTTCATCCTACGGATCTTGCGACGTATCCACTCTCCGAAATTATAATTTTTTGTTGAGCATTTTGTTTAGAATGTACCTTATGTCCACAAATGTTATTAAGTATTTTAGCAGAATGGCTAAAATACTAATAACATTTGTGGACAATAATTGCTCATAAGATGCTTGAACGTTTCCATCTTATAGATGCTGCGACGTATCCAATCTGCGGAATATCACCTGATTTCATCCACCCTGCGTAAATGTTTCCTAATTAGAATCGCACCGAATCTGCTTCTGAAACTTCACTCCAATTTTGTTTTCACTTCTTGAGCAATTTGTTGTCAGCTTTCAGCAAAGAAGTTGCTATCTCCTAGATTTTCCATCGAAGCATAATTTTCCATTTTAGGAAAGATGTGCCGAACCTATTTCTGAAATAGTAAGTACTTATCTCAAACAAAAGCCCGAACGCCCCCATAAGGCCCCGGACAGACTTCACGCGACTTAATCGTCGCGATCTAATCGCCAAGGTTTCCATTCATTTTCATTTCACATTCAAAAATTTCGGGTTGGAAAAGTATCACAACCGAATGCAAGTTGATCGGTACGGAATGATGTTGTAACAGTTGCCTCGTCGCGATTCAGTCGCGACGATCAAATCGCGTGAAGTCTGCCCGGGGCCTAAGGCAAAGGATGATTGCTGAAAGCACAAACACACTTTAAATCAGTCTCTTCATGATATTTTAATCGGTAACGCAGCACAAGCTAGAAAGTTGTATTTTGAAGCATCTCGGATGGAATTTCAAGGGTGTTGGTCTGTTTCCAAAGCCATGTGAAACAGAGTTGGGGCTCTGATACCAAACAAGTTTTCGCACTAGAATTTTTTGATATCCAAGAGGAATCGTGCACGGTTTCAAAAAAGGATACTTTTTAAAGCAGAAGAGAAAGTGTTTGAATTTGATAATTTCTAGATTTTCAAGTTTGAACAGAGTTGAAGGGAGTGGAGGTTGTGAGGCAGTTTAGAGAGACACTCAAACGAAGGAGGGAAACAGGGCCTCAAGTGAGAAACCCTAAGAGACTATGTTGAGTGCGTGACGTCCACTTCGATCAGAACACTTTGGAATGTATATGAAGTTTGGAAGTACCCGAAGATCTTCGCAAAATGTAGAATGAATGAGGAATTTAGGTACAGCCTGTCTAAATCGCGATCACGCAGATTTGGACCGGAAGAACGTGCGTTCGCAACGCAAGGGATTTGCAGTGCACTTTGCACACATAGCATCGCCGAAGTAAGTGAAGAAAATGAGGAGGAAACAAACAGGTCCTGAAGCGACCACCATAGCAAACCGCTGACATGAGGCGGTCATGGATTTCGTCTTGAATTGGATTGGGACAGAGTGTAAAGGTGCATGTGGCGCATTTTGAAAAAAGCAGTTTAAGGCAAGATTAGAAGGCGATTGAGTTAAAGAAGTTAGAGACGTTACGAATGCGAGAAATGATTAGTAGTTCAGGAAATTCCATATGGAAAACTTTCGTATGTAAAAATTGGGGTGTGGAAGTATAATAGTATGGCTGAAAGAACTCAGAAAAGACGGCAAAGTGCAATTTGCAAACGCAAAAAATTAGAGAAGTCGAGTACCCCGTAGAGCATGGAAGTGGATAGAAGAATCTGGGGGAAGCGGTCAAAAACCTGATGGCAGTTGATAAAACTCAGGGAACCTCCTTATAAAGCAGGAGAGGTTCCTGACACTTTGACTTGGCTGACTATGGGTTCGTTACGTGTGTAGAAATTCTGTGCCGTACTTTTGCTGAGGGAAATGTTTGCCAAAAACTTTAAAAGTAGTAACTCTCAGTCACATCCCACTTCACACACACAGCCAGTCCGAAGCGCCGCTCCGCTGCGCTGCGGACTGGTACCAGAACAACACAGGAGGTAGTTGCGGAGAAATCGCCGACACACGGCAACACCTTACACCTAGGTAATTAAACCCTTTATTATTAACAAACTGAAAGAGATAACATGGCAACGGGTAAGCAAGTGAGTATCATATGTACAACTGAACCGTATCAATTGAGTCTTTTCATAGCACTAACTTATGACTAACGACAACGAATGAACGAAAATAAAAATGCCAGATAAACAACAAATGGTTTCCAGAGATGAACAGATAAGGAATGCGAGCAAATAAAAAATCAGAGATATGTGAAGATAAAGAAGCAAGAGATATGCAAAAATATAAAGAACTAGCTGATTTTCCCGGTCCAGCCCGGATCATTTCAGCTGGTCCCTGCTCCAGCCCCTCCCCACCTCCCCCCCTTCCCACCTGGCCGTTATGCTGCGCTGCAAGGGTTTCCTTTACCAGAGTAACTCACCCGCTGCAGGCTCGTCTTGGATTACCGCATCCTTCCTACCGCGAAAACCGAATGAACTCTACTGCTATTGTTTACACCAAATCATGGAACTGACTTGTTAGCCGACGTTGAGAACTCGTTCTTATGCGACAAATCAATAAATCAATAGAAGGACCCTGCGAATCGCCGCAAAAAGTAGCCAAAAACCACCTCCGGGGTCAAATGCATATGTGTGCAAAGTTTTAGCTCAATCGGTTCTATGACTGGCGTTTCTATAACGAACGAACAACTAAACGAACATCCTCACAGACATTGAGTTATATATATATATATATATATATATATATATATATATATATATATATATATATATATATATATATATATATATATATATATAGATTGAGATATACACGAACCAAATGACAAAATGGAAACACTTAAGTAGATTCCATTGCGTGTCCGTGTCGGCGCCGCTAATCGATTCTTGACGCTATTCTAGATCATGGAGGTGCTGAAGCCGGGGATCAAGTCCGCTCTCAGCACACTCCGGGGGGAGGGGTGTCTAATGGTAATACTAAGGGATCTGCTGCTCCAGACTGCTGCGCCCTTCCTGTAATGAATATAGAGTGTGATGATGTGAGTTATTCTTGCAATATTTGCAGGGTATCCGGTTTTGGCATGGCTTTTGGCAGGGCTTGCCAAGACAAAACAGACACAGATGGCGGGACAAATGGTTATGCGGCTTCGTTTCCGTAGTGTCTTTTCTCGCAGTAAGCGAGATGATCGAGCTTGCGTTGTGGTAAGGCGAGTACCTTGGTGATTCTTTGGACGTGAGCCACTGCGTCGTTACTTGTGTGTTCCGACAGATGGAGTGCTGCTATGGTGACGTTCTGGTGATCGCTTGTCCTTACGTAAAAGGTCCGAAATTTGTGTCATCAAGTTAATCATTTAGCTGACAAGAAGTTCACTGCTGTCGTTAATCTTGTCCTCTGAGTGCTTGGTGCCGTTGCACCAGCGCGGTAAGTTGGAGTAGTTGTTGTGGTTGTTTCCTTCGTCCGTTTGACTTTGTGCTCCAGGAGCATTGTCTCAATCCTGTGTAATTTCCTCAGTATGGACCCGGTATCTGGTAATCCCTTAGTTACCGTCGTATCTTCGATACGCTTCTGAATGAGTTTCCCAATGTTATTCAATTTCGCCTAGATGTCGGCGTCTGACGCTTTAGTAATGTACGGCTCCGCTTCCTCCTTTTCAATGTAGAGGTTTAAAAACGGGTCGATAGTGGGGAATTTGAGCGCGTACTGGATGTTATTGAGTTGATCCTGTTCTTCACGAAACGCTGATTTTGCCGTCCTTGGTGTTGTGGCAGCCTCCTGGCCTGGGTCTTCTTTCAAAAACTTGTCTACTGAAGAAGGTCGGTGCGTGTTTTTCCACTAATATGTCATAAACCTCCCAAAGGAGGATGGCGACAACATTCACGTGCTCCCATCGTTGCTTCAGAAACTGAATAATCTAGTATTAAAAACAAAAGAATCAGACGTCGGATATCAAAAGAATGTTGCAATATCAAAGTGTCGTATATCTTGAAATCGTAACACATTGTTGAAACTGCCGTAATATTACTACGGCAGGATCCACGTATTTTTAATTGACGTACAAGGTGGTTTCAGAGAAAATCTAGTTATACTTATTTTCTCCTTCCACGGGCTTTTGTTTGAATAATTTATCCAACAAATTTCATGTAGCCTTCCTAGCCGCGAGCAGGATACCATATTATTGTTGATACACCGGAAAAAACTTGATTTTGACAAGTTACATATTTGTAGTCTAGATAATATCGTTCCGATAATTTTCTACTATATAGGCACCATTGTGACCCATGACCTACTCCATCTTTTTGGCAGCTTAAAAATTCCGTCGCTGGAGAACTCTTGTTGCTTATCAGCGAAAAACGGCTTCAGGTGCTCTTTGCACATTAACCTGGTGAAGCCTCTTCCCCTTAGGTGCGGAGAGCTTTAAACATGGTAGCCTAAAGGTGCGATATCTGGACTATATGGGTGGATGCGGCATGACTTCCCTCCGAAATCCAGTAGTCTGCGCTGCATTTCTTCTCGCCAGTGCCGGCCTTTTTGCTCCATCGCTTTTTAACCTTTGATAAGAGTGAAAACTTGCCAGACTCAACAATTTGTTTCGGTTTCAAGACATTGTACACAATTCATTGCCAATCCATAAACATGAATTTTCTGAATGATCCCCATCGTTGGAAGTTACCTGCGCACCTTGTCCGCAAATCTACCCAACTCTTTCCGTGCTACGTTGTCGTACTAAATCCAACTCTCGTCTTCGGAGCAACCGCATCAAAAAGTCATCAGTTTTTGAAACGCCTGAGCAGCAAATCATATGTGGTCATGCTATCGAGTTAGTAGCGCTCGCTCAACTGGTGAGAACCAGAAGTCGAGCTTTTTTTTTCAGTTTTTCTTCACGTGAGAGTCACACCTTCTCGACTTCCAAACCCGAGGTAACCCTTCATGTTGCCCCATAGTAACTCAATTGGGTTGAGATCCGGGGCATTTCCGGCGGCGAAAGCGATACTATTAAAATAAAAATTAAATTCTCAAAAACGTTTCGGACTCACACTTGTTAAATTGCCTCTGTCTCTTGTCTTCTTCTTCCTTTCTGGTTGATGTGGTCGGCAAATTTGAAGTGTTTGTTTTGTCGCGCAGGACGCCTAGGCTTCTAGTGCGCTGATCACTAGATAATTCTTCTGCAAACTTGGAAAAACTTACCACTTGCATGGTAATGCATTGTCTTGAACTATTCGTTCAAATTCTCTTCTGAGAAAAATCAAAAAGCATTTTTAAGCCATGCCGCGATATTTTTTTCGCAGCTGAGAGTAGAAGTTTTGTATGATCCTGCAAGACCTGGCTGCCATTTCGTGCGTATGGCGTATGGGCCATTAAGAAGCGATCTCGTGTTTTACCTCGAAATGTCAACGCATAGTATACTTTTGCAGGGTATTTCGCTCTTTGCGCAACCAAAAAAATCTTTTGTCACAGAACAAATATGTATACAATATACTTTTGAACATTGCATCGATCGACCAGCCTATATCAATCATATTACAATTGCACAGTGCATTCAGTAAGTTGATAAAAACGGTTCTGTTTTTTATAAGCGCCGGCAGACGCCTTCAATTTTCTTAAAACTGCTTTCTCGTCGCTTCGTCACAGTAGAAACCATGCCTGAGCCGCCAAATGTGCCGATTACTTTGATCCCGCGTTTGTGAGGTGCTTCTGGAAGTAAGGGGTAAAGACGAGGTGAGACTAATTGGCACAACCACGACGATAACATTAGCTTTTATGGCATATAGCAGCTCTCTTAGTGAATGCTAGAATACCGCGCATTTTTACACAATGCGAAGAAGACCCTATATGTTAGATTATGTTAAAATCTCATACGGCCATTGAACGTGCTTACGCCAAGAAAGTAGTATTTTGCAGCAAAAAAGCCGCTACAGATTATTACGGTGCCTATTTGGTAATGGTTTAAACGATCGATTGATTCTACTGGCGCAATCCAACTAAGAAATAACAGTTTGAAGTTCCTCAAGAGTGGCAGATCAGCAAAACAAAAATTCTTGGATTTTCGACGTGGTAGGCTGCCTCTAAGGGTTGGGCCAGACTGCGCGGCGCACACGACGTACGCAGCTTACGCCGCGTATGCTCCTATGATGAAATATACCGAGCGTACGCTGCGTACGCCGCGTACGCTCGGTATATTTCATCATAGGAGCATACGCGGCGTAAGCTTCCCCGCGAAGTCTGGCTCAACCCTTAGGCTGCGTTCATACTGATTACGTAATCCGGAAACAGTCCCAGCGCAACGCTCACTTAGAGCGCTGTGCTGGAACTGTTCCCGAACTTTGGGATCAGTATGAACGCAGCCTTAGGGTAATTACGAAAAAAGCACACCAAATAGCGCAACATGACCCGTTGAGGAAATCGCCCTCATACCCATGCGCGCAAGCCAGTTTTGTGGGCTCTCGATAAGTTTTTTCCCTTCCAATTTTCAAGGCACATGCCATAATGTTATAGCCATAAGGTCCCGCAATGACTCTGCTTCTCCATCCTTAACGGGGACACTGCTAAGCTAAAAAGTGTTTCTTTGCCAATTTCGCGCTCTCTGTGTTGGATATTCGGGATTAGCGCATCGGTTAGCCCCAGGTATGCACTTCTTTTAGGTCAAAATCTGCCGAGCTACTCCTTTGAAACTTCCAGTAGGGAGACCATTGACGTTGTTCAGAAATAGCTGTATACAACACTAACAACAACGGAAACACTACCTAATTCAGATTCATAGATATGATGCACTTCTCAGATAGGCGTTATCAGATTCAGGAGATCTACGTGATTTAAAGCAGCATTCGAGATGTTATGCGGAATGAATATCTGCATGACTTTTGCAATTGCACATGTTATGCACATTGAACATCGCATGAGATAAAAACATTAAGAAGCCACATACCATCGCCCTGCATGTGACATGACGGCCTCCACTATTTCGTAATATTAGGTTGTAAAGAAAGTTCCTGGCCACTTTTGAAAATTTCATTTTCAAACGCGTTTTTTCGGCGGTCGGTCGGACTTTGACACCAAGTTTTTTATACTGTTCAATAGAGGGAAGCCTCAAGTTTTCAATACGCCTTCTGACATTTATCGATGCCAAGACATGTTTGACCTGCACATCAAGAACAGAAATCTGTCCAACCACAAAAATTTCACAATTTTTCTTCCTACGGCCATTTTTTGTGCACTCAAAAAAATTTCGTCCAATTCATGAATGATCTGGTTGAGAAGCCTGTTAACTTCTGATGTGTAGCTGCACTCGAGTTTTGCGATTTGCGCTCAGAAATTACAAGCTGTCAAACTTGCCTCTGACTACAACTCTTTTCGCAGCTGGCGTCGCTTCTGCGAGGATCGCCACGCCTGGATGATGGGTCCAAAAAATGTGCAAGGCTGTACCTCAACAATGTGTCCAGTAACAAAAGATTTAGTCCTTTCTGTGCAGAACTAGAAGACTTCAAAGTTCACTTACTCGAAAAATGGTGCATTTTGGGCAGAAAATGCCCAATTTTCCAAACTTTCTAGGGAAGATTTTTTTGCAGGTGGTCCTTCAAAAACATGAATGGTCCCCATAACAGCCCCAGCAGACCTTTATACAACTGCAGCATCTGGGCTTCCCAGCTCTCATCCTGCCTGAGATAATCCCGCACAAATAGGCCACTGCGACGACCTTTTTCCCTTCTGCGCATGCTGGTGGACCGCAGTGAGGTGTTGAAAAGCCGGAAAGACAAATATATGTTTTGGATAAAATTGTCTTTGCAATGAAGTTTGTAGCTTCAAAAAAGAATCAATCTGCTTGTAGTTACAGTGATTTGAAAGAATTTTTCGCAAGTGCCCGGAAACTCTCTTTAAACCTAATACATTATCTATAGGTTATGACAAAGACAACCTCGCACGAGGACATCTAGCAGAATTGGCAGGCTAACTGGAACGAAGTTTGACATTATCTATGTCAACAGCACAAATTCGTTAGCCTTACAAATGTTACAATAGAAAATTCTTAGAGTTGAATCGTGTACGAAAAAATTGTTAAGAAAGGGTTTTGAAACTCGCGTTCTTTTCGTATACGCTTTGCTACTCGTTTTTTGACCGCCGTCGTATCTCTTACAAAGTTATAAGCCCAATCTTCTAAACCTGAAGAAGTGCGAAATTGTGATGGTAGTCTTTGATGGTGGTTACAGTTCTCAATTGTGCATATGGACTTGAAAGATAATCGTTTCTGACACGGCAGCACATACTCATTGATTTTTGTTGTGTGAATTTTTGTTTGACTTCCATATCAACTCCGCATTCTGCTTCAAAATAGTATTTAGTCTCAGCCCTACTTGAAAAGAAGTGGGCAAAAGCTGATCACTTAACTCAATTTGCCAAAAAATCAATCGCCGATGGTAGGCGGACACGCACTCCGCAAAAAAGCTAGGTGGAAAAACGGATTGCTGTTCTTCGCGATTAGTGCTGCCTTTGCTCGTCGAACATGCCAAAATACATAACAAGGTCAGAACCTGTGCCGGTGCCGACCTTCATTTGAACTGATTTGCAGCTTCAAAATGCTCAAGACGTTGACGGTGTCTAAGACTTCATTCAGCACTTTCACCGCGGAGCCTATCATGGCACGTCATCTGCTTCGTAGGACGAAGGCATGACAATAAGGAGAATGAGCCAGTGCTGCTGTAGTTTTCACGCCTACCCACGCCGTCACGTATAAGATTGCTTGATAGAAGTGTTACCTAAGCCATGTAGCTTACAATTCGTAACATACTAACATAGACATTCTGCGTACAGAAAGAGCTTTGCTCATTAGCTTATCGCTTATCGTCAAACCTACATCGTTCACTCAAAGCTGCACAGAAGCATGCTTTTTGCATTG